CTGTCCCCCCTCACCCTCTGTACCTGTCCCTCCTCACCCTCCGTACCTGTCCCCCCTCACCCCAGGCCGTTCCTTCCCCGCCGCCGCGCGGGGCCGCCGGGAGCGGCCGCACCGCCTTGTGGGCCGTCGCGCGCGGTCGCCATGGCGACGGTGCGGGCTGTGGCGGCGGGGCCGGGCCGCGCTCCCTCCCGGCCCTGCCGGGACCTGCGGGCGTTTCGTCCGCAAAAGTCGGGCCGTGAGTCCGGTGCTGACTCGGGGGCTGTGAGAATGGAAGCGCCCGCCGCAGAGCGGGCCGGCGGCGGCGGAGGGGAGGTCACAGCGCCAGAGGCGGCAGAGGCACCGCCGGGCGACCCCACAGCCGGAGCTGCCCCCTCAGAGCGTGAGGGCAGCGCTGGCAGCACAGGTGAGCCCCGGGCTGGCTCGCCAGGACCAGCTCGGGACACTCTGGCCAACACAATGCGCTGACATCGTCTGTTAACTACTCACCTGGATGCCATGCGAGGCTGTGCTTTCTCCCAGCAAAGTCACTGGAAATCCTGCCATAACTGAGGCGTGCTCAGTTACTACCTGCCTGTCCCTTTTTTTACCATTACCTCTGTTTCTTTACTTTCCTCTTACCGGAAAGGTACTTTTTCCTGTGTTGTGATCACACAGCTGGCCTGACCTCTAAATCACGCACCACAGATTGCAGAATGGGTCACACTGGAAGGGACCACAGTGGTTGGGACCATCTGGCCCAACGCCCCGCTCGAGCAGGGCCATCCCAGGGCTCATGGCACAGGATTGCACCCAGAGGTTCTGGAATATCTCCAGTGAGGGAGACCCCACACCCTCCCTGGGCAATCTGTCCCGGTACATGGTCACCCCCACAGCAGGGAAGTTCTTCCTCACATTCAGGTGGAACTTCTGTGCATCAGTTTCTGCCCGTTGCCTCTTGTCCTATTGAATAAGTCCTATTATTATGTTTCAATTACAATCATATTTAAATGAGCTGGTACAATCATCTTGTTTGTACTGTCTCTTTTTAAATGTGCGGACTACAAGTGCAACTAGAAGGTCCAGAGCAAGATTCTGAAGAGAAGAATATTGAAATTCCAGTTACTCAAAGGCAGTGTAAAGACAGTGTGAATGAGTGTAGCTCTGCAGACACCTTCCAAGGAGTGCAAAAGGGTAAATCTGTAGAAGAGCTAAGCTAACAGACAGTGCTTGGGATGACTCAGATACACCATTACTGTAGTCTCTCTACATGCAAAGCTAAGAGTCTTGTTAAATGCAAATTAGTGTTAATTAATTGTAATACATAGTAGATGTCTAAGACCATAAGAACATTGATGCCAGTACTTTATTGTCACTGCACGTTATAATAATCTTAAGAGTAGTGGGTCTTACCTGACTTCCAGATCTAAAAAAAAAAATAAATGCATATTTCAGCAGATAAATTTGCTACTACTTATTTTACTATTTTGCCTCCTAAAAACATTAAGTTTCATTAAAATTGTCAGCAAAAGTCTTGATTAAAACCCTCCTCCTCCTGAAATTCACATTCAAGTCCTCTTCAATATTTCTCTAAAGTAATTGGCAACATGACACATTTTCCCCAGCCTTGCTGTTAAATTGCAACTCCTTTTCTTACTTACAAAGATGTTAAAACTCAAGAGAAAGCCATCAACTGTATGTCCAGAGCAGACCAACAGAATGAACAGAAATCAGGTGTGGATCACGAGTCTGTAACCAGCTCATCCAGTCAAAGGACAGCAGAAAAGAGGGGCTCTGTGAGGTAATGCATTGCTTGTGGATGTGTTTTATTTAAATCTTGGCATCATTGAAGTCAGTGGGAGTTTTGCTGCTCTGCATGTTGATCTTAACTCTGGAGAACAATTTTGCAGACTAACTTAAGAATAATCGATGAATCAGGAATCAGTGATGTACAGATGTTTGGGTTTTTTATGGCCACAGTAGCAAACTACATTCTAACCACATGAGGTAGTCTATTTAGTGGATCCGGAGAAAATTGTGCAAACTCTTGTAGGAGTCATTTGCCAGTAGATTTGACCATTTCTCAGCATCAGTTCAGACAAGGCATTGTGTTAATTCCTCGTGGCATTCCCAGCCAGCCACAGCTGCACAGTAAAACTTTCCTGAGTGCTATTTCAGAGTCAGCATTTCATTAAAATGTTGGGCTGAGAACTATTGATTTTTCTAGTCTGAGAAAAATGTTGCATAGTGGCTGTGCCACCCAAGGTCCTGTACCAAAGCAACAAGGAACAGAGGAAAGAACTGGAGAGGAAGGAAGGAGAAGCTGACATAGAACCACGCTGCTCTTTTCCAGGAAGATGGACTCTCTCATTCCCTACCCATTTTCCTACATCCTCTCTGTTTTTTAGCAGAAGAGTCTGGTAACTCACTTAAACAGGTAGAAATGAGAAGCCACTCTAAAAAAACCTATTGCTTTCTTAATTTGGAATATAGTTTTGAAAGCTGTAGCTATTTGTATTGCGTGAAAGAACTATTAGTTGTGTTGCATTGGAATCTGTAAGGAAGCAAAAGATTTCAGAATGTGCACTGAAATACACTTTTTGTTTTTCTTCTGCTTCCTGTTATTATTTTAGAATGACAAAAAAGACTCTGCTGGACATCTGTAAACAGCAGAAATTATACTGGACCCCCTACTTAAATGATACACTTTACTTGCATTATAAAGGTAAGATGTGGACATGACTGTTTAGATTTATCATTCCAAGTAGCATTTTAGCAGAGAAGCTATTTCATGGCTCACTAAAGTAAGATATCTAATCATTCTTTTAAATTAAAAACATAAGTTAATTTTATATAATACTGGAATTGGGAAACAAAATGTCTCAATATGAAGGTAGAAAAATAAACTGATTATACATCTAATTCACTTTGTGTAGTCATTCAAGGGATCAGTAGGAATCAAGGGACATATTTTTGGTTTTTTTTCCTAAAACAATAGCCCCTGAGAAGTGTCTTAAAATACTGCTCTGGGTTGCATTCAGAGGAAAATATATGTTTTTTCCTTAAATGTGCTTGTACAAAGAGCTTTTGTGTGCAGGGTTTGACCGGCTGGAGAACCTGGAGGAGTACACGGGGCTGAGGTGTTTGTGGCTGCAGTGCAACGGCCTGAGGAAAATCGAGAACCTGCAGGCTCAGACAGAGCTGCGCTGCCTCTACTTGCAACTCAATTTAATTGAGAAGATTGAAAACCTTGAACCCTTACAGAAGCTGGATTCCCTCAACATCAGTAACAACTACATTAAGACCATTGAGAATCTCTGTAAGAACTGTTGGTACAGTGTGTTGTAACCTTGGCCAAGCCCACGTTCCTAAGCTCTGACTAAGCTATTATCAGTGGCACTAGTTTCAAGGGATAATTTTATTCATGATAGAATTTTGCACAATATCCCATACCAAAGTCCACAGGGCTTCTGTTGAGGAGTCAAACCTATGTATTTTGCAAATTAAATTGATGAAAAAAGAGAAAATATGTAGGAACTACTTTCACGTGGATACCTAGAATAATTAGGTATTTTTTTCCTCACTTCTTAGTACTATCTCAGTCTTATCTGTGTTGCAGACAGGCTGACAATCCAGTTTTCACTATTTACAGTTAAGATGTGCTTTGGCAGTTGCAGACACAATTACCGAATCTCTTATGTCTGCTAAAAGATTTATTCTGTCTTCAGCAGAAAATAAAAACAATTCCCCTACATTACCACTTGCATACATTGGAAAATTTTGAAACGTGTGTAACTAATTAGTTTGAAATGTGAATGAAGGACAACCACTATCCCAAAACCAAACAGCTGTTTGGTGAAGAAAGCAGCTTTGGGGGCCTAGCCAAAAAGTGCATATAGCAGAATAACAAATTTGGAAAAAAATCTCCAAATTCAATACAAACAATTAGTTTGACAATGCAGTTTTTTACTTGCTCCAGGAACCCCTCTGTGAAGCAACAACTCTTACCTTTCCTCTCCTTGTCCTTGTCCTGCAGCTTGTCTGAAAGTCCTGCAGACTCTGCAGATTGCTCACAACAAGCTGAGGACAGTGGAGGACATCCAGCACCTGCAGGAGTGCCCCAGTATTTCTGTTCTGGATCTTTCCCACAACTGCCTCAGTGATCCAAGTATTGTAACTATTCTGGAGACCATGCCTAACCTGGTAAGGCAAACACAGCTCAGGGTTCCTGTCGTGTGTGGGGGTGAGCCCCATGGAGTGCTCTGGTTGGGTAGTTCAGTGCACAACAGGCACTGCTTTAAAAGAAACATTATTAACCATGTTTTATTTCTTGTTGATTGCCTGTAACACTCAGGGTGTTTTGTTCACCTCTTGTTTTTGAAATGACAGGGAAAGTGCATATCCAGATTGGGGTTTTTTTGCTACTCAACTTTAAAAATGGTTCCCCTTGTTTCTCTAGCACGTGCTGAATTTGATGGGAAACGAGGTGATAAGGAAAATTGCTAATTATAGAAAAACACTTATTGTTCGACTAAAACAACTAACATATCTGGATGACAGACCAGTTTTCCCAAAGGATAGGTAAGAAACACAGCCTTCTTCATCACACAGCAATAAAGATCAAATGCTAATGATCACTCACACACTTTTTGTCAGAATTGTCATGGAAGGAAAGGAAGGCTGACCAGTATAATTTATTGAAGGTGGGTGACTTAGAGGACAAGAGTATTGTATTGCAGACTTCTACATCTAACATACCTAGAAAAAAGCAATCTATTTTTTCACAAAAGAATTCTTGAGCAGAATGCTCTTAGGCCAAGTCTGTAGAGCAGAGGCAAATCCTGATTTCAGCAGAATCTGAGCGGGTGTCTGGGAGAGCCAAGCCAAGCCCAGCCCAATCTCTGGGGCTGTGATCACCAGCATTTGGCTAT